GCTCCGCCCCCGACGCCCGCGTTGTGGGTGGGCTCACCTGGAGCTGCGCGAGCTTGCTGTGGAGGCCGGTGGCCGGAAGGCGGCCCCCCCGGGTCGAAATCCCAACCGGTCATCCAGGCGCACGGCCTGGATCACACCCGGTCGAGAGCTTCGTGCATTCACCGCCTTCTGGATTTGCCTGGTTTCTAAGAGAAACCAGCCGCCTGAGGCTAACGCGAAAGCGTTTCTTTACCAAGTAGGGATCTGGGAGGGTCGGGCAAGGGAAATGCGAAATTCTTACCTGTGGCCACTAGCTTCTTTAAATCCGTTTATTTACCTAGTTACCAAGTTTGTTTGTTTTGGTACCAAGGATTGAACTCGTAATCTTGCGCTTGCGAGGCAGGCGGCGGAACCACTGAGCTAAATCTCCGGCTGCCAAGATTTTATTGAACATTTACTTGTACCTAGTACTGTTCCTCAAACTGATTTTTCCTTTGATTGAAGCTAGGGATAAATTACTCGCGCCCTAAAGGAATTGGGGGGTTGCCTAATGTCCGTGGCTGGCCAAGGAGAAAGTTGCAATATTCGGGATAAAAGTTAAACTGGAGCTGTCTATGAGACAGTGAGTATGACCCAGAGTGAAGTGCATATGGTCAGGAAAGCGTTGAAAGAGGATGAAACTGTTGGGAATGGAAGGCTTAGTGGAATTCAGGGCTAAGGGTTAAAAAGCCTTTGTAGGCAGAGACCTGTGTACAAAGCCATGGAGGCAAGAAAAAAGTTGTCTGATTCTAAAGATGTTAATAGTAAAGTAGGGCTGGAACTTGAGAACCAGTGGAAAGAAACAAGATTAGGAAGGGTAGGCACTGGAGATCCCTTTAAGTGGATTTAAAATCTAGTAAGTACCCTTTTTGAAGGACCACTTAGGCATCGTTCTGGAGGGTGACTAGAGTGTTGCAAAAGTCCACACACAAATGGTGAACTAAAGCTGTGGCTATTGAGTTGAGAGAAAAGAATGTCCTAAAGATAAAGATAATTTGCAAAATACATAGTGGAGCAAGGCATAGTGGTGGACACTTGTAATCCCAGCACTGAGGCAGGAGGATGGCAAGTTCGAGCCCAGCCTAGGCAACTTAGTGACCTACCTAGTGCAACCCCGTCTCAAACTTTTTTTTAAAAGGGCTGGTCAACAGGGCCAGGGAATTACTGAGTGGTTTTGCTGCCCACCTCGCAACTGCAAGGTCCTGAGTTTGATCTCTGGTACCAAAAACAAAACAAAACAAAACAAAAAGGGTTGGTCAACATAATTCAGTGAAGGCCCAGTACAAAAAAGAAAGGTAGGCATTATTAGTGGGTGTGGGCTTTGAAGGAAAAGTGAGACAGGACAGTGAGTCTCCCAGGCTTCTTAAAGTGAGGGGAAATGGCGGTGACATGAAAAGGAGCGGTGTGGAGGAAAAGATGAGTTTAATCTGGAACATATTTCAGGTACCTGAGGGCAACTAAACATATAGGCCCTGAACTCAGCAGATAGTCTGGGCTGGGGATAGATTTCAGAATTGTTTCGTACCTGTGGTCACGGTTGACATACCTCAGAAAGAGGACCAAGGACTGAATCCAAAGATAGAGCAGCATTTAGAAGGCTGGTAGAAGAAAACTCAGAAGAGTCCAGAGATTGAGGAGGCTAGAGACTAGGGTCACAAAAACCCAAAGTACAGTTTCAAAGAGGGCGTAGAGAAATATGGAGAGGAGAAGTAGGACAAAGACTGAAAAATGCCTGTTTTATTTGCTATCAGGTAACCTTTGGAACAACTGAGCAGAACAAGAGCCAGGTCACGGTGGGCTTAGAAATGAATGAGGGGTGAGGCAGTGATGATGGGAAGCCCGGGACTGTTTCTGAAGATTTGTCTATGAGACCAAGAAGTCGTTTATGGAGAAGCACACAGGAATGGAAGAGGAAGAGCTCACAAGGAAAAAAGATTGTGACAACTGTTAAGATGCAAACAGTACTTTTATATGCTACAGTACTTTTATATACTAAGGCCCTATGTAAGTAATCTCAAGAATTAAGGATCTAGGGGCTGGGAATAGGCTCTGGCCTAGCATGTGAGGCCCTCATTTGATCCCCAGCACTGCAGTGGTTGGATTAAGGAGTCTCCAAGAAGGATTCATTTGAGTCTAGAAAAGGGAGATTTATCCCTTGTCAGAGGGAGAATGAACGCATATGTAGAAATACAGGCAAATGTGAAGGGTTGTTGGGAGAGGTGACCCTCATTCTTGATCACCCTACTTTTCCTGAAGTTATTGTCTGAGAGAGGAAGGCAGGAGGGGATCTCCAGGAATGAAGGCTTTAGAACAACTGCTCTGGAAGACGGGAGGAAACTGAACAGGGAAACAGGAGGGACATGGAGTAGCACTGAGGGTCAGGTGGGCTTGCAGCTCTTCCATCTTTAGTTGGGTTTTTGTTTTTTCACTTGTACAGTTTTCTCCAATTCAGAGGCTTTGAGGGATGAGCAGAGAAAATAGTAAGGGTTGGAAGTATGATCCTGGAACAAGAAAACTGAGGTGCTGGCAAGGAAAGGATAGTGATGCACTAGAGAAATGTGAGGCTGGGACTGGGTTGATGATCTGAGTAAAACCTGAGAACAGAATACTTTTTTAATTAAAAATTACAAACTGAGCTGGGCGTGGTGGCGTACTCCTGTAATCCCAGCATTTGGCAGGCTGAGGCAGGAGGATCACTGTGAGTTCGAGACCAGCCTGGGCTACACAGTGAGTTCTAGGTCAGTCTCAACTACATAGTGAGACCCTGTCTCAAATAACCAAAAAATAAATAAATAAATAAATACAAACTACCTAGACATCTACCAATAGAATGGTTGGATCAATTACAGGATAAACATGAAAACTATACATATTTAATGAGGTAAAGTAATGTATATTGACATGAAAAGATCTGGGGGGGGCGGTCTTTATGTAAATAAATGGCAAAATAACGTCTGGCTCGGTGGTGCACACCTGTAATCATAGCTCTCTGGGAGGCTGAGGCAGGAGGATCATAAGCTCCAGCCCATCCCAGGCAACTTAGCGACTTAGGGAGACCCTTTCTCAAAATAAAAAGTAAAAAGAACAGGGGATATAGCTGTGTGAAGGACCTGGGCTCAATCCCTAGTATTACAAAAAAAAAGAAAAAATAATCTGGAAGGATATTTACCACCCTATTAAGTGCAATTGCTTGCAAAGAAGGGAGTGAGATTAGGGAGGGATAAAGAAGATTTACAACAACATAAAGTTATCATTGAATTTATTTTATTTTAAAGATATCTATGTACACCAAGTAAATACACACTGGGTTTTGTGCAGTTTGGTTTGTCTTTTGCGCTCGCATGCAACATTTTGGCAGATGTGTGGGCAGGCCAGGTACTCCTTGTGGTGACCCTGGCTCTCTGTAAGGGATGTGATGTAGGGAACAGGAAGAGGAGGATGTAGTGTGAAGCTTCTGGTGAAGGATTGTGTGTTGTTTATTTCTGCAAGTGAATTATATTTTCCTTATATCTTGCTAAAGAGCAGGCTGCTTCTTCTGTGTCACCTCTCTCTTCATCTGCCCTACACTTTCACATTTTCTTATACATTGTTTTAAAGAATCATTTGGAATTGGGTGTGGTAGTGCACACCTGTATTTCCAGCCCTTGGAAAGCTGAGGTAGGAGGATCACTGTGAGTTCAAGGCCAGCCTGGGCTACATAGTGAGTTCAAGGTCAGCCTTAATCTCAAAGCAAGACCCTGTCTCAAAAAAAAAAAAAAAATAATAATTTGTTGGAAAGATTACAGAAGTCCACTGAATTCTGAATTTTTAGATGTCCTGTTGGCAAATACTAGCTTAAGTCTACTGGTATGCTGGTGTCTTCCTTATTCTCCAGTGGGTCTGAGACAGCACCGTTCATCTGTACCACCCCAATCCTCTATCCTCTTGAGTTGCAGGTGTAGGGGTGCCTGACTGGACCTCCTTCCTCAGAGCAGTGATTTTCAAACTATTCTGTAGAACCCTCAAGGTCTCCTTGGATTCTTCACAGGATCCTTAACTAATGAAGCATTTTCCACCAGAAAAAGAAAATGCAAACTACCCAGGTCTACAATGTTATATTTTATATCAGGACTCTTATATAATATTTTAAGTATTTGAAAATTACCACTTTGGATTTATTCTACAACCCTCTGGTATTTTCCCTTGGCATTTCTCCTTAACTTCCAAAAAGGCCTCAACAGGTAAAGAAAGTAGGGTTCTTTCATGGAAGGCATCATCAGC